CCCGAATTAGCTTTCGAGACATTGCACTGAGCAGTGAGTATGATTACCTCAGTAAGCAGCGTAGGGTTTTACGTGATTGCTACGAATATTTCGAAACTTTATAGACTGCTTTTATGCGACTATGAGGAAGCAGCATATAGCGGTATGGTCGCGGAAGCAGGATTTACCAAAATTAAGCAACCTAGCAAGAAGATACTAGCTAAGAGAAGACAACAGCATCCTTTTATTTTTATATGGTTGTTTCTGTACAAACGCTATCTGTCTGGGACGGTATATTGTTGGCGTTGAATGCTTGCTATGGGCTAGATCTCTCTGCTCCTTTTTAACCATGTTCGGTGCAATGCATAATAACCAACGCTTTGATATGGGTTAAGAAACATTGCTTTACGAGCCTCGTTGGGTGGTCTGATAAGTAAGGGAAAAACGTTACTGAAAAAGCAGTTTGTATTGTTACTGTCAAATAATGGACTTAGCGTTTTTGATTCAGTAGCCTTGTACCCCGAGTGTTTTTAAAGCTTTTAATAAGAGGAAAAGTAAATCTAAAGTATTTCCCGGGAGTAGGATGGAGGGTAGCTTCGAGTAATCAAATATAAGTTGCCGAGTGCGTCATCTAATCGACTTTTAAAACTGGCTAGCGTGGGTGCCGAAACGACAGTGTCGGGGAGAGCGTTCCATGGTTGACACACACGAATGGAAAAGAAGTTTCTTCGAAACCCCAGACTTCAGTATTGGTCTGCTAATTTCAGGGAGTGGGCTCTAAGTTTGGCGTTACTGCTAATTTGTAGGAAAAAGCAGCACACATGATTTGGATTGTTTAAAACCAAATACGCCATAAGTAAGTCGACTTGTAGTCTGTGATATCGTCCGCTGAGTACTCCCAAAAGTTTCAGCCTCGGCCCTAACGGAAGGTGGTGCATTCCAATGAAGTATTTAGATGCCCGACGTTCAGGCTGGTCCAGTGCTGTTAGGTCTTGCTTTAGCATGGTTGCAAGGCTTAGATTACGTATTCTATGAGGTGAGGAACATATGCAATCAGTATCTGTCAGAAAATAGTGGTGGCTAGTTGTCCGAACGCCCGTCGTAACAAGCGGACGTGTTGGTTACCAGTTTTCGAGGTCTTAGCAGATTGTTTGGAGTAACCCGAGTTATCCTGAACAAGGACACCAATGTCGCGTTCGACGGGTGACCGCTGCAGTACCTGCGTTCCTAGCTTGTAGAGATAGGTATTCTGGTGTCGTATGGAGGGTACGTTGCTTATGTCCACGTTGAACTGTGGCAGATTTTAGGTTGGCCAACCATGTACCGTATCTGGATCACTTTGAATTAAATTCTGAACAGCATCCGCCTGAATCCAGCGCCATAATTTGATATCGTCAGCAAACAGCAGGAAATTCGAAGCGCTATTCCGTACAAGGTCATGGCGGAATGCCAAAAGCAACCGTGGACCAAGAATTGAGCCTTGGGGTACACCAGCCTCGATTGATATCGGTTTAGATAAGGAACTCTGGACTCTCACAACTAAGTGCCATTGCAAAAGAAAGTTGGCGATCCAGTTCAAAAGAGGATCACCGATCCCGTCATTTTGGAGCTGGGAAAGGAGTACCTGATGATATAAACGATCGAACACCTTCGACAACTCCAATATTATCACGTCAACGGTTTTTTCAGCTTCAGCTGACACGGTTTAACTGCTACGTGCGCAGAATAAATTCGTTGTGCACGAACACTGTCGACGAAAGTCCTTGCTCGAGAGCAGCAATGTTACACTTTTTTAGATAACACACCAGCGCATCTGCAACGCTGCATTCTATGACGTTTAATTTACAAGGAAAAGAGACATTAGGCGGTAGTTAGAGAGCTCTGTACTGTTTTCGCCTTTGTGAATCGGACTTATTATGCTAAGTTCCACCTCACAGGAAACTGGTTCTAGTATAAGCAGCGCTGAAAGAACTAGGCCTAAGGTTTTGCCACTTGCCTTGCTGCCAATCTCAGTGCTTCTAGGTGAATGATATCGACTCCCGGAGAGTTGTGCTTGCGTAGAAACGACAGCTTCCGCAACACAGCTTGGGCAGCAAAAGAGGAGTGGGTGATTCCTGGAGGCGGGAAAACCAACTTGGTCTGATGGTAAGGCTCAAATAAATGGGGGAGCATATTACGTCTGTAACGCGTTTGCCGCTTCTAGGGCTGTTCTGGTTGGACGATCAGCAGTCCGGAGAGGAGAAATTCTCTGCCTTACCTTACAACGTCCATTGACTTATTTGTGCAGCAGGTTGTGGTTAACGCTGCAAGTTTTCGCCATAATCCGCTGATGTGCGACTTTATCATCATTGAGCAGTTGAGTGCACTGGTTACTGGGATACGCAGTTGTCCCAATTATCTGATGTTAGTAATGATCTGTACACTCACCAGACTGCGTTGCGTATTGCCATCCATATTATAGTTCTGCTCCTCAAGAAAGAAACAGTTTTGGGTCCATTGAATACCCTTGTCTCTGGAGCATCAGTAACCCGTTGATGGAATTTGCTGACGATATCAAACCACGCAACTTCCGGATGGCCTTCAGGGAGGAACGACCCGGTTGTGACACTGACTAGTTGGGATAAGCGGTCGTAGCGCGTAATGTTGCGCACCAACGCAGGGTTCTGGTTGCTATATTCCGCATAGCAGATCCATTCTAAACTGATGAGTGCATGATCACCGCGACCCAAAGGACACTCTACGCTCAATGCATCAATCACATCTTTCTCGTTGGCGAAACAAGGTCCAGCAAATTACGTCTGTTACCAGTTTTAAAATGGGCTGGCGTAATGACGTGATAGTTAACTGGAGCAATGTTTATAAGCTCCTGCAGATCTGCTTTGATTGGCTCTTCAAATGTGGCAGGACTTTCTAAACAGTTTTCATGGTCATCACCGATGCTAAGGATGTGAGCATACTTTTGCTTTAGGCCGCATCTTAATGCTGTCGTAAGTTGGCTGTCCATTTCCAGTGTAGAGTTTGGAGCAGCATACAAAGGCTATAATGCAGGTGTTCTTACCATGTCATGGCAGGCGGTACCAAAGAGAATCAGGGAGCGGTAAGTCTAAATCCTCAACGGCCTCGCACTGTAGGTCGCTTCGCTAATAAAGAATTACCCCTCCCCCTTTCGTCAGCCTGTCGTTGCGTATGAGTGACATGCCTGGCGTCTGTCATCCCAGTGCGCGATCAATTTTGTGACACTGATAATATTGTATGGCTTCGATGCTTGGCGATCCTTCAGTTCGGCCTGCTTATTGACAAAACCTTGAGCATTTGTCTAAAGGCAGGGGAGTTTTTCTGTCTATAGGGGCCCACAGGGAGCCAAAGGAGTCAAGGGTGGTAGAATGTCGACCAATGCAAGTTCTGTCATTGTTCGTTTTCTAATGGGAAGATGATGACAAGTCTTTCGCAAAATGATTTGACCAAGGTACGTACCATTTTTCGTCCGGACATGCTGCAAGATCGCGTGACCTACCGGTCAAGCGATGCTCATGCGTCAGTACTGGTAGAATTGCTTTTCTGGGTAGCCTCAGGTCTGGTCGTCACAAGAATTCAGCAGCTTTTAACGGTAGTTCAGATGGAAGGTTTTTAGGATGTTTCCGCCAAAGTTCTAACGTTTCCCTTACTGTTTGCTCTGGATGAACCAGAAATTTTAGGATTTTGGTTCGCTTCCCATATAATTTGGTGAGAGAGGTAGCCTTTTGAGCGATCGCTGCAAGGAAACTCTTCCACGAATGAACCACCACTGTTCCAAATCGTGATTACTGGCCTCTTGACTATCGTAGGAAGCAAGTCCTGGCAAGCCATAAATAAAAATGGTGCCTACTTACTCCAG